CCTTTGCCCCTTTGACCTCCAATCTTTTTCCTGGGGTTTCCCCCCCCCCCCCTCAGTTTCTGAGGTAGTAATATACCTTTGTAACTCATTATCGGGCTGCTGGCCCGGATATCTCTCACCAGCGTTGTTCAAAGACAGTGGTGAGTCTTCATCTCTTCCCTTGGCCAGTTTGTGTACAGTAGTTTTGGGACAAGGATATTTCAAACAATCTGGAGCCAGTCAATTATTGTACCTTCATTCAAAGAAGATACTCGTGAGTGAATGAGATAACTTTAAATCTTGGACTGAATTTCATCTCTTTCTCGAAAAAGTTTGGTGACAATCGGTAGATTTATATATAAATCTACCGATTGTCACCAAACTTTTTCGAGAAAGAGATGAAATTCAGTCCAAGATTTAAAGTTATCTCATTCACTCACGAGTATCTTCTTTGAATGAAGGTACAATAATTGACTGGCTCCAGATTGTTTGAAATATCCTTGTCCCAAAACTACTGTACACAAACTGGCCAAGGGAAGAGATGAAGACTCACCACTGTCTTTGAACAACGCTGGTGAGAGATATCCGGGCCAGCAGCCCGATAATGAGTTACAAAGGTATATTACTACCTCAGAAACTGAGGGGGGGGGGGTAAACCCGCAGACAACGATTCGAGTTCAGAGGGTCAAATGAAACACATAAGTACATGGACAGACGACCCACTGAAGCATTCTCCATACTGTCCAAGCAAGTGGTCGTGACGCTGGTTCTTGTTAAACGTTGAATTTCCAATATTATCCTTGGTGACCTCACTAGAAACCGGATTTTCCATCACGCTTTGTGTACCAGGTAAAACGTTCACGAACATTCTCAACTGCGCTAGCCCCCTCCATCTACACAGCTCTCTGATCTCCTTGGTTTCCTTATTCGCGCGCAGAAAAAAACTGCTCAGCAGCGACCCTCTTTCGGTGCCCAGCTGCCACGCCACCAGAAGGAAGCACGAGGGCTGATATGCTGCCAGGTTGTTCAAGCCTAGACAGGGGAAGTCGAGAGGCAGCGGTTGGGTTCGAACCACGGACTTTCCGGTCAGTAAATTCGCGTTCTAACCACTTGAGCCATCTAGCGCGCAGATCATGCTTGAGTTAACTTTTAACAACCCTTTTGGTTGAACTGTGCTCAGGGTTCGAAAGGATACGTCTCATACCGAGGGAAGACAGTGGCGATTATGAAATCCAGTGCCTGTATGGTTGGCTTTCAGAAACAACACATGCCGAGTCCCAGTCTGTACGAATCGTGGTGCTAACCTGGTCTCAATTAAAACTGAGCTTCCTGAGGATGCGGCTTCTACAGATTCACATAGACTTACTTGAAGAGATCAACTTTTGGGTGAGAAAGTTGTTTAGTGGCTAAACAAAGGCTTTATTTCTCCGGTCATCCGAGGAGACCTACATGAAATCTAAATCGAACGACAGCCTGGCCTGAATCAATGTGTATCGTATACAAAGAGGCTTAGCAATGACCCTGTGGTCCATCTGGCTTCACAGTTGTCAATCAGTAGTGGAACGCTAGGCAGCGCAATGCGTCTGTTGTGTTTGAATCCGGCACCATTGAGATCCATTTGGTGATCAGTACAAAGCTGCAAAGGACTTGTTTAGTCCAAGCCAATCAGGCTATGATATCGCACCACTGGTGATTTAAGATGCCCTACTTGTGCACTGGGAACGCCGGCAACCAGAACAATATCTGAACTCCTCATACCGGAAAGGAGAGCAGGTGCTTCATAACATCAGAGAGAAAGTTGGTGTGTACCTATGCTGCGGATTCCCATGCAATTTGATGAACAAACAGCACAGATGATGTTACTTACGGAAAACCACCCGAGTAAAGTGACCGCAGCTTGCAAGCTGACAGCTATACCGGCATAACCCAATGCAGCAGGTGCAAGATGGTCAAAAATTCACAGTTGGTAGATAATAAAAGTGCCGTAGGCTTGGCTACTGCGCGCGCATATTCTAGTTGGATTTCAAAAGCTCAACAAGCATCTACCGATGGAGTGATAAGAGTGCGCACCAGATAAGCCTTTTAGCCTACTTGCTTCAGAATTCACACGTTAAAAGTCGCGATAAGCATAAGCGAACGAGGTCTGAGAAGCGAAGGCGGCGCGGCAGATGCGAGAGTGGAGTGTAACTAGTAGCTACTTATAGTGCACAAATAACGTGCTTATAGCTAAGATCTGCAGAAGGGTGATCGTTAAACACGACAGGGAGTTAGGGGATAACACTGAAGAAAAAAAGAAAGCGTGAGCAGTGGCAGTAACCAAAGTAGTAGCCCGCTTTCGGTTAACCACAATAATGTATGCGATAGGCAAGCCGATCCGATTGAGGGCACCACGAAGCCGATGTGGCGTAGAATTACCAGTATTCTCACAGCACACGGTTCGAAGTGGACTGATATAGTGCCAAGGCGTCCAGACCGACACAAGAGGATACTTAACGATATAAACCAGTCTTTGGTTGAAAGTCATGACCGTAAAACAGCTGTGGTGAGACTAACAGAGCAGTGCAACTTTAAAGGAACTTGCCGCCGCACTTGTTACAGCTTCCATCTCAGAGGGCCAATAGACTTTGTAAATGTCGCACGGGTAACCTCCAGTATGGCTCAAAGGGTCATAGTGATGCATAAACCGTCATACTACGGTAATGATCAGTCTCTTCGTCGAATCCAAAATCTTTACTACTGCGCCGTCTCAGAGAAGCGAGAGAGTCACAGCTTAGACAGAAACAAGAGAGTTCTTCCAGGAACGGGTTGCACTGAATAAATATCAACTCTACGCCGTATTTAGGAACACTGATACATCTTCCAGCTGCCGACCGCCGCTTGATTCTTTCATGTAGCAAGTGATTCAGTCAATAGGGTTTGCCTTTTGTTTGTCTTAAGAGCCAATGGCGTGCCACATAAGTCGCCGAATTTCATCAGGGCTGAATAATCCGATATGAAGGCCTGAATCCAAATATATGAGGAAGACACCGTTATGTTTGTTTTAAACTTCGATGTATTTCAGTGTCGCATGCCCCTGTAGACGTGCCCGGTGTACCAATAAAGACTAGATTATAAAGCTTGATTACGATATCATTGGCCATCACCCTTCGCTGTCTGGACGAAAATTATGTAAAAGAAAACTCTTCACCACAAGGATGGACACTCAGCCTAGTTCGCTTGACGTCGACGCACAACTCGTATATGAAATCACTTCCCTCAAGTGTTCAGGGAAGTGTTTAAAACACGGGAAGAAATGTGATCACATCGATAATGCCAGAAAGGCCTTCAGGTAGCTTCATAGCGCCAAAGAGATGTTCGAAAAGTGATCTTCGAAGTTTCGTATGTACACTGCGATAGTCCGATCCACACTAACGTTAGCTCATGAGACCTGGCCTTTCCGGACTTCGAAGACTCGAATTATCTATCTGTGATTGAGGAAAACACTCAAATTACGCTGGAACAATATAGTATCCAAAAATGGTGCCGCAGAAAGTTGGTACAATATTCCAGGCCTCCCAATCTCAACCCAACGATGCAGAAGACAGTGATTTGGACGAAACCCCCGCACACCAAATTGAGGTATCTGAACCCCCCCTATCGCCGTTGCCGTGGTTAAAATGACGCAGCAGCACCGGAGGAATGTCGAAAACTGGTCTTCCAGCAGATACACTTGAAGTTGAAACGCTGAGTTTACAGGTGGTCTACGGGATCAAGCAGTGGGATAGAAACTGAGTGACGTTGCATCTTTCTTCCGATTGAGCTTTGAGTAACAGCAACCTAAGTTATTCTTTCAGTCGCTAATCATTCCCTAGGAGAAAGCTGCCATAAACTGAGGGTAAGAAGTGGAGAAAACAGCTCCTTGAGGGGGATGCCAAAGATTTCGTGATGTGCTTATCTCATCTAATGAAGGTAAGCCAGTACTTTGGAAAATGCTTCATATGCCTCAACGCGGTTTATCCAGAATTCCAACATAACTTCAAAGTGTTTGAGACCCCAGTGGCGAAACAGAGCGTAGTTATCTGGGCAACGTGAAGAGACTATCCAAAAGTTGCCGCTCTTGAGAAGAACCTACAACTCGGAGAAAGCTTCAAATAATCAATCAAAAGCATTGTGGAGATGGCATTTCCCTGAAATATCATGTGATATGGCTGCAACAAAGAAGCTTGACAACCAACTTAAGCCAGTTCGATGCCGTTTGGAGTATGGAGTATAGTCAATTTCGAAAATAAAGCCCCACCCTAAATCGGATGTTCAACCGAAAGCAAGTACTCCTCCAAAAACCAGTGAAGCTTTGGGTAGATATTTCGCTCGCGAAGTAGGACTGTGTTAGCATACGTATAAAATTGATTAGAGCAATGATTCTGGCGACCACGAGCTAGGCACAAGAACTTATTGCGCCGCCCTGTGCTTCTCCCACGGTTGACTCGTCTGACAAGAAAAGCAAACGGCTTGCACAGGGTGGCGTCACAAAAATCCTGATGACTAGCGTTACGGATAACCATCAAACTGTGATACCATAGTTGTGATGTAACTCAAAGTGAGCAAGAGGTTGAGATACTACCACCTTGCCCATGTCTAGAAAAAACAATCAAAGAGCCAAGGTTAGGTGACGACCATGAAAATGTTGGCAACAGTTTGCGCCTCACATTCGAAGCTGCCCCGAACTGATTAGTATTGGTGGGCAAGGTATCTTAGAGAAGACCTGAACGAAGGCAAACGAGGTACTTACAACACGAGTGGCCTCCAAAAACAGCAGCGGGTCTGTCAGTCTGACCGATATTTTCCTGTCTTTATGTTCGTACAGGCAAGTACCGTGCGGTCTGCTCACTTCAAAAGGACTGGGCTCAGATTCATCTAAAAGATTGGTATGTTCACTAGGAAGCCATACGGATAAAACTAACCTTTTGGATCTAGTGCAGGGCTGTTGTGGATGTCAGACGACGGAGGAATAGTCAATAGTTGCCACAAGGACTTCTTTCGGTGCGCTGGATCATCACTAGAAACGCAAGAAGGACTCACCATGAGTTACAAATAGTTTTACCGCAGACGTGTAATTGTATCCAAAGCTGATCGAGACAACAAATAAAAACCAATGTCACGTAGATCGTTTCGAGCCAAAGCGCTCGCTCCCCTGGTCGTCAGACTACGCGACAAGATGGTATTTTTCTTGATTTCTGAAGCAGCTAAGTAGCCCAATACTTTTGTCCCATTTCGTGTTGTGAGTACAAGTTCCCGTGGTAAGGAGGCGAAAAGTTTGCTGTCTGTTCCGGACAAAGGGGAAAAGGCAGCCGCTGCAGTGGAGCGTGTTCGCAGGAGCGATAAAAACAGCTGCCGCAAATCCAAATCGGTCAAGAATGTGGTTGATCCAGTGACAAAAATGTAGTCGAATATAAGTTGAGTCCGAATTCGGTAAAGGCACTCACTGGCAGAACAGTCACGTGGTAGGGCACAAAGTGAAACGCGCAACTTTGAAGGCCAGTGGAGACGGTGACTCATAAGGAATTGTTCAAACTGTGTGGTGTGTGATGCGTGATGAGTAATAACAATATCCGATATGTCACTGTCTATAAATCTGCCAATCAAATCTGACAGAATAGTGGAGCCAGTGAAGGAGAGTAGGGCAAAGGACCGTGCCACAGACAGTTGCGTCAACTCCGACGGTTCCGAATGACAGAGAATAACACCTTGCATAATGTGATAATGTTTTCCCCAGCTGGCGAAAGGCCACACGCCGGACTCTCACCACTCGAGAAGTACTAAAAGACAAAGGGGGAAATTATAAACATTCAATAGGAATTCAAACACTGTCAAATCAGCGACGTCATATAGTGACCACAGTGATGGTGACTGACCACTGTTCCCGGATTTCCCGCGATATTACGCGGAAAATTGATATCGTTTTGGCCAAAACATGCCACGATAACAGAGTGATTGAGCTTAATTGACGCAGCGTTACCACGGTCACATCGGCTGAACGTGCGTCGCATAGGTATCACTCATGCTAGCAGGGCAAAAACAAAAAAGTCGGACAGAAAAGAGTGAACCAAGTAAGGCGAGGAATCGTATCATGAGGTAAATTGTGCTGTCCTCTGCGACAAGGGTATAAAAGCAGTAAGTCATCACCATCCCCTCGAAAAGCAACACCAGTAAAGAACACTGGCGCTTCACTGCCGTATAAACATGGCAATTTATTTGAATGAAGACCATAAAGGATAAAAGAGAAAGGGGACAGGAAGCAAGAACTGGTGCCAGCTCATCAAACACGAGATGCCTACACATACAACAGAATTAGACAATCAAAAAAGAAACCGTCAGTATGAAAGCTGTTGACATCACTGTGTTAGGCAGGAATCCACGCCGGTCCGGATCAAGGCGAGCTCTGATTGGTCAACAATCTGGACCCAACAGCCAATCATGACCCAGTATTGGCCAAATGCCGGTTGCCAATTGAGCTCCAGAACGCGTCAGAAATTCCAGAAAAGTTATAGCCGCTTACGCTATATATACGAAGCGCTGTACAACTGTTCCTGATTTCGTTTTGGGCGTTAATAGACCTTGTGCACCTTTGGTGTTTGTTTTGACGTGAACGCTAGCTTGGGAGGCTCAGACCGAGAACTAAGCTGAGGTAAATACCGTTACTACAATTGGCGAACGGGAACCCACGATGTCAATCGAATTTGATCAGCTCCGAGAACTATTGCAGCAGCAACAAAAGCAGTTTGAAGAAGCGCAACTGAAGCTCATTGAATCACTGACTCAGAAGCTGTATATCCAAACAGCAGCAGCCAGTACTGGTGAGTCTTCTGTTTCCTCAACTGATGCAGCCGCGGCCTCAATTACGGAGTTCACATTTGACGCTCTTTCTGGTCACACTTTTGACTCCTGGTTCAAGCGGTACGAAGACATGTTCAAAACTGATTTTTCCAA